GCCCCACCTGCCAGAGACCCCCTGGATCTCCCTCAACCCTGCCCAGCCTCCACAGACGTCCCTCCCCACAAGCAACATTGATATGATCACCTTGGCCATACCCACCCAATCTGCCATGACCACCACAGCCATGTCCATCCAGTGGGCCATGCCCATCTGGCACCCGGCAATAAATAACTGGGTTTGGGGTTGCAGTTTGGGCACTTGGTCTCTAAAAGGTTTGCCATCACTGGACTATGCAAAAGAGACGATCAAACAGCCCCAAAGAGAAAAAGACTCCAGCACCTCTCCACCAGGAATCAGCACTCAGATCAGCATAGATTAACTCCAAGGTCAACTTCAGATTAACAATGAAGTAAGCAAAATCCCAATCAAGCAACTGCCACAGAGCCATTAGTAAACAGCCCCACCAAAGAATCCTAAGACCGCCGCTCCCACCCAGATATGAAAGACATCAGAACATAAACTGACAGCAAACAGCACTCCTTACTAGCACTGATGATGTCACCTAGTTAGGGTAATGAAATGAAAGAAATGAAAACAAGCAAGCTCAGAGAGCACCAAAGACCCCTTATAAATAATCTGTTTTATTTGATTATAACATTTCTCAACTTTGATTCTCTTGGCAGCCTGTAAAACGATATGGAAATATATACTCCATAAGGGCTGGACCTAACCTTCTAGTAGTGCTGTCTGGATTCAAAACTGTGAAAGAAGTAATGACCAGCTTCCCAGAGGAATTCTCTGATAGATCAGAGGATGCTTTCTTGACTGCTTTGGGGAAAAAAAGGGGTAAGTGCAAATAGTAAGGAATTCTATCTAAATAACCATTGTTACCATTTGTCTGAATAATGGTATGTCATGAGAATGGCTGATGGTCGTATTCTGAAAGATCTCCTGTATGGAGAACTAGTGCAGGGAAAGCGCCCCAGAGGGAGACCTGAGCTGCGATATAAGGATATCTGCAAGAGGGACCCGAAGGCCTTGCGAATGGACATTAACAGCTGGGAATTCTTGACCTCTGATCGTTCAGCCTGGAGGCTAAAGACGCAGCATGGCCTTCTCCAGTTCGAAGAGACACTTGTGCGGCAGGCTGAGGCAAAGAGACAGTCCCGGAACCAGCGAAATCTGGGGGCTGGACAGTGTGGAAGGGACTGCCACTCTCGAATTGGCCTTTTTAGCCACACCAGATGCTGTTTTAGGACCTCTTTCCAGAGCATGATACCATAGTCCAGTGATGGCAAACCTTTTAGAGACTGAGTGCCCCAAAACTGGTCCTGCTCCGTTCCACCCCCTGCCTCATCCCTGCTCTGCCCCCATCCCCCGCCCCACCTGCCCACAGGACCACTCACTGCCTCCAGGGCCTGCTGGAGATCACCCAGGCAGCCCAGCAGCACTATGGCAGCCATACCCTCTGCCCGCGCCCTGCAGCATCAACATCACGATGGGGTGTGAGGGCAGAGTCTTCTCTACGCTGCCTGGTTGCCATGTCCTTGGCTGCGCTACTCCATGTAGGCCACGCTTGGGGGCAACTCTCCTTCAGGGGGGCTGCTGGAGAGGAGGGGGTCATGGGGGGAGGCAAGGCTGGGGCAACAGCACGTGTGCCCACAGAGAGGGCTCCGAATGCCACTTCTGGCACCCATGCCATAGGTTCACCACCACTGCCATAGTCTCTCGAGACTGAAGGATGCCAATGAATGATGATGATGATGATGATGATGATGATGATGATGATGATAAAGTTGGAAGGGACCTTGGATGTCATCTAGTCCAACCCCCTGCTCAGGCAGGAAACCCTATACCATTTCAGACAAATGGCTGTCTAGTCTCTTCTTAAAAACTTCCAGTGTTGGAGCATTCACCGCTTCTGGAGGCCAGTTGTTGTACTGGTTAATTGTTCTAACTGTCAGGAAGTTTCTCCTTAGTTCTAGGTTGCTTCTCTGCTTGATTAGTCTCCATCCATTGCTTCTTGTCCTGCCTTCAGGCACCTTGGAAAATAGCTTGACTCCCTCTTCTTTGTGGCAGCCCCTGAGATATTGGAACACTGCTATCATGTCCCCCCCCCTCGTCCTTCTCTTCATTATATCTCAAAGTTGGACAGTAATTATCTGAGTTAGATTTTTGCATATTGTTTTGTGGTTTATATATGAATAATGTGGGGGGGTGGAAGGGAAGTAAAGAATAGTTAACAAAATGATTTAAAGTCATGAGATAAGGAAAAGAAATATTGCTATAATTCAGTTTACGCCAAATTATTACATGTCCCAATTTTATCTTGTCCATTACATTCATACATTGACTTGGAAAAAAGAGAGTTTTAGGAGGAGAGGACTATAGGTAGTTCTCGACTTACAACCATTTGTTTAACAACCATTTGAAGTTTCAATGGACTAAAAAGAGTGACTTTGGTTAACATCCATCTCAAAAGAGGTCATAAAATTGGTCATGAGTCACTTAACAACCACCTTGCTTAACAATGGACATTCTGGTCCTAATTGTGTTTGTAAGTTGAGACTATCTGTAATGAAACATGACAGAAGTAACATCAGTTCTTGCATTAGGCAACTCATTATAGTGTTCCAGAATGAGCAGGAAAAGACCACAGAAGGCAGACATCAAACTCTATTCTATGCAGACGGACAAAGTTCAAGATTGCAATACTCTGCTTTTTAAGGATAATTAATACCTCTGTTTAACTCAGGGAGGTGGGAGGAGAAGAAGGTGGTTAGAACTAAACACACATGAAATATTTAGAAATCTCCCCTTAATGTGGTGATCGGAAACCTATGACATGCATGTCACAGGTGACACACCAGGCCTCCAGACCCTCTGAAAATCCCGCAAGAGGGTCCTTCTTTCATGCAGTCTCTGGGTCATCCAAAAACATGCAAGAACAAGGTGTGCATTCTCCAAGGTTTCCACCCTTTAAGGTCTTGTGATAGATAGTTTTTCTGAGAGGCACCAGGGGCTGGGGCAGAAGGTCTAACTGGCAAAGCAGAGTCAAGTTAGACATTTTGTGAATTTTTGACACAATGACCATAAAAGGGTCATCGTCACTGTCATGTCGTGAACATTATTTCACTTGCTAGAATTTTTATTCTGCTATCCTTTGATCTTATTAAAAAGAATGGAAGTATGCAGTGCTTTTTGTCTAAAAAAAAAAGGTGCCAGAACTCACACATGTCATACAACCCGCCTTGCCTACCCTACAAGGTTCCATCCAAAAAACTCCGTTCTGGGCGTTCTATGAGAAAAAAAAGCCAAGGAAGTATGTATTTTAAACTCTATTTACTTTTACTCCAAGGAGATAGAAGGGAAACTCATAGAGGGGATAGATGGGATAGAAGGAAAACTCATCAGATATGAAGATGAAATTAAGTTAGAGGGAATAGCCAATACTTGAGAAGATGAGGCTCAAGATGGACAGACTTCGGCATTGGTCCTTATCCAACAAGATATAGTTCGAAGGTGAGAAACATAAGGTCCTGCATCTAGCCAGGAAAAAGCAAATGCATAAATATAGAAAAGGTGGTACCTGGCTCAACAGTAGTGCTTGTGAGAGGGATCAAGGTGTCCTAGGGGACCACTTCTTAAGTATGAGCCAGTGATTTGCGGCATCTGCCAAAAAAGCCAATGTAGTTCTAGGCTGCATCAACCAAAGTGTACCATCAAGACACTGAGAACTGATAGCACTGCTTTACATCACTCTGGTGAGACCACATTTAAAATACTGCATCCAGTTTTGGTCACCACGATACAAAAAAGATATTGAAACCCTGGAACATGTGCAGAGAAGAGAACAAAAATGATAAAGGGCCTGGAGGTTAACAGGTATGTCTAGCCCAAAGGTAGGCAACCTTGGCTCTTTTATGACTGGTGGACTTCAACTCCCAGAATTCCTTAGCCAGCCATGCTGAGGGGAAAGGGAGAGGTTTCCAAGCTGAGCCATGCTGGCTCAGGAATTCTGGGAGTTGAAGTCCACGAGTCATAAAAGAGCCAAGGTTGCCTACCCTTGGGCTAGCCTATCGAAGAGAAGAATTAGGGAGAAAGTTGTCTTCCAGCACTTGAGGGGCTGTCACAAAGAAGAAGGACAAGAAGTATAGGTAGTCCTTGACATGCAATCACAGTTGAGCCCAAAATCTATGTTGCTAAGAGAGACATTTGTTAAGTGAATTTTGCTCTATTTTACAGCCTTTCTTGCTACAGTTGTTAAGGGAATCATTAGTAACACGTTTGTTAAGTGAAACTGGCTTCCCCATTGACTTTGCTTGTCAGAAAGTTTCAAAAATGGATCACGTGATTTCATGACACTGCAACTGACATAAATATGAACCAGTTGCAAAGCATCTAAATTTGTTTAATGAACATGAGCATGGGAACATGAGCATGGGAATGTTAGTGTGAAAGTGACCATAAGTCCCTTTTTTTAGTGCCATTGTAACTTCAAACTGTCACTAAACAAACTGGTGTTAGTCAAGGACTACCTGTAATGGATGGAAACTTGTCAAAGACAGAACTGATGATGTTATCTAGTTTGGGGAATGAAATGTCTGCAAATGTTTATGGAGATTCTTGGTAATCCAGGGATTCAGTTTGAGATGCAGACAACACAGACTCATCCCCAACAGCCCGCACCTGTCTTCAACAGTGAAGGGACACAGGGCAGAAAACATCCTGCAGCCAAGAAGGCTCCACACACATTTGCACTACTCAGGTGACCCTGAGGACACAGGTAAACCTCCAAATGGCCTCAATGACTCTCTAAAAGAATGCAAATGACTAGCAGTCTGCAAGGAGTATAAATCCTTCCATTCCCCACCACCCAGTCAGAGCTGAAGAAGCTTCTTGGATGAGAAGCGAAACATCTTCAAAGAAAAACAAGAAAGTCCAGTTGCCTCCTGAAAAAGCACATTTGGGACAACCATGACCTGGATGACTGAGAATCTCCATAGATCTTGTAGGAGGAAGTTACAAATGGATTCTATTAGCACTGAGAAGTTCCTGTCGCTTGTGCCTATAACATGTTCTCGTACGTGAACCTTTACATCATCTTAGAAGCTTTTGATGTCCATCAAAGAAGCTGGCAAGCACTGCAACTGTGTTCACCATACCGCACATGTCTCTCAGTGTCCATGTGACTCCCAACATGAATAAATGTTTTTATAATAAAACTTAGCATAGCCGAAATTTTACAAAATGGCAAAATTACACAAAGGTTTTCTACCTGAAATTCAGAGCAATGTTTGGGAAGAACTAGATCTGTTTTATTTTTTAACATGAATGTCCTCAGGAATCACTTATCATTCTCTGCTGATGCCCTCAGGTATTATTTTCTCCAATGGCTACGTCTGGAAACAGCAGAGACACATCGGCGTCACTTCTCTGAGGAAGCTGGGCCTGGGGAAGAAAAGCATTGAGCATCAAATACAAGACGCAGCTCAGACGTTGGTGGAAACATTTAAAAAAACAAAAGGTATGCAATTTGGGCTAATCGCTCAAGTCTCTGTCTGCAGAATTTTTTTCCATTCTCTTTATTTCTAATAAGAACAGACGTATTTGATATGTTGTTTTACAATTTTTGAAACAATTAACAATCATTTTAAATTAACAATAATTCCCAATAATGTTGTTCGTTGCATAGAAGTCCTGTTCTTTAATAATTCATTATGAAATATCTTCATTTGCAGGACAGCCATTTGACCCTTCAATTCCAGTAATACATGTAGTTTCTAATGTCATATGTGCTTTGAGTTTTGGTCATCAGTTTGCTCCTGAAGATGAAAGCTTCCAGAAGCTAATTCAAGCCCTTGAAATTATTGTGAAATTCACTGGCAGCTTTTTTCATGTGGTGAGTAATGTTTTCTGTTAAAGAGACAAAACTATTTCCATGAATATGTTTATGTAATCACGAATGGAATTCATGGAGGAAGCCTTGGAAATCATCTATTGTACTATTATCCCCAGTAGCCAAGACAAGTCTTTGCAGTTTCCTTGTCAAGATTTCGGAAGTGGTTTGCCATTGCCCACTTTCTAGGGCTGAGAGAGAGGGACTTGTCTAGTGTCATCCAACTGACAGTGCTTTAATTGGGACAAATACTCAGAATATCTCAATAAAAGATGGTCCACCACTTCCTGGGTCAGTCTGACACTGAACACTTCTTTCATTTTTTTCTTAATAGCAAACCAACGTCTGCTTCATTATGATTTAGGCCCATTGCTTCCATGCAGAAATTGTTTTGCTGCAGCCACCAGAAAAGCCAATGCAGCCTAGGCTGCATTAACAGAGGGATAGAATAAAGATCACATGAAAGCTTAGTAGTGATTTATAAGGCCTTGATAAGACCACACTTGGAATATTCAGTTTTGGTTGCCACAATATAAAAAAGATCTTGAGACTCTGGAACAAGTGCAGAGAAGAGCAACAAAGATGATTAGGGGGCAGGAGACTAAAACATATGTAGAACAACTGCGGGAATTGGGTATATCTAATCTAGTGAAAAGAAGGAGTAGTGGTGCCATGCTAGCAGTACAATATCTAGGAGGTTGCCCCAAAGAAGAGGGGGGTCAACCTATTCTCCAAAGCCCCTTAAGACAAGACAAGAAGCAATGGATGGAAACTAATCAAGGAGTGAACCAAGCTAGAACTAAGGAGAAATTTCCTGACAGAGAGAACAATTAACTAGTGGAATGGCTTGCCTCCAGATGTTATGGGTGCTCCACCATTGGAGATTTTAAAGAACAGATTGGCCAGCCATTGTCTGAAATGATATAGAGTCTCTTGCTTGAACTGGGGGTTAGCCTAGAAGACCTCCAAGGTCCCTTCCAACCCTATTATTCTGTTATGAAAAGCTAGCAGACCGAAAATCCAACCCATGTAGTTAATTCATTATTTAGCCTGCCATGTGTTGAAAGAAAAATCTTCATCAGGGTCCAGTCCAAGCCGGGAATAAACAAAATGGAGACTGCTTTAGAAAGAAGGTTGTAGTTTATTGAAGAGGAGAGCCAGGCAGAAAGATGGCTCTGGGAAATCTGACCACATGTAGCTGGGAGTGGTGGGTTTTTATACCTTCTGGGGCTTTTGATGTCGTTTCCTGTTCCTGTTTGAGGCTTTGCATTTCCTATGTCATATACTTTGACCTGAGTCTCAGTGTGTCCTTTTGGTATTCTGATGGTGGGTTAATCCTATTACGTCACCAAAGGTCATGTTTTTTAGAGTTTTGGTTGGGTATGTAGATTTTAGGGGTCTTTGTCTTCTTAATCTCATGAGCTTCTAGATTCCTGGCTCCAACCTTCCCGAATGGATTATTACATCTGCATTTCTAAAAGCTGGTTTCTGCTGAGTTTCTGCTTGGGGCTATTAAGAAAAACTGAGCTTGCTTTTCTGCCTTTAATATCCTTTGGACAAATATATTCTGCCTATTTAATATCCCCCAAAATATTTCTTTCTCTGGATTCTTCCTACACATGTGAATCCAGTTGGTCTAATTTATTAAATCAGTTACCCATAGGTTACAAAGGCTCCTGGAGAGAATGAGAGAATAAGAGAATTTTATATTAGCTTTAAAATAACCTATCTGCCTCTAACATGATTCTTTTCTGGAAGAATTTGGAAACAGCTTTTCTGCAGGACCTTTGGGACCTGACGCCATGTAAAGTTTGCCATGTTTCAATGTGCTTGCAATGTTTTTCTTTGGTTATTAAATCCTGTCTATTACTGTGAGCTGCTGAGAGTCTTCTTTAGTTGTAGTGGGAAATAAATAAACAACCTTTCCTTTTCCATTTCTATTAGATGTTTATTGTCTTTCCACGATTAATGAGCTATCTCCCAGGCCCTCACAAGAAGGTCCTGGCTGCTGTGGATTTGATTGGGTCCTTTGCAAAGCAGGAAATAGAGAAACACAAGGAATCCAGCTCTCTGCATGAGCCACAAGATTTCATTGATCATTATCTTTTTCAGATGGAGAAGGTATGGGTTTATTGTAGTTCAATACATGGGCAAGATACTGGAATTTTTTTCCTTGGAGTTATTTCTTTTTTATTCAACTCCCATTCCGAATTTCACCCGTTCTAAATTCAGGTTGCTTCTAAATAAGGACTATATTGTACCTCTGTAATATCAGACTCTTGTTATACATGGGGGGAGGGCTCCTTGGGGAAATTAGAAATGTTTCTGTTTGTCATCTTGTAGTGTTTGCCTACCACTCCTTTCCCCTATTTATAAAGAAGTTCCATTAAGAAGGAAAAGAATTAACAAGGTAGATTGATTGATTGATTCATATTTAAACGAATACTTACCCTGAAATGTTGGAAAAGTACAGATACTTTCACAGCTTTGAACATAAGTAAAAATGTAGAACAATTGAAATAAGGAATAAAGGTACTCCTCTCCATTGTTTTCAGAAAAAGATTGACTTTTTTTAGAACAACTTTTATCAATTTCCAGTCATGTTGCCCTTGGTCACTTTATTTGATACCATCAGTCTTGAGTGTACTAATGGTTCAAGGGTGGTGCAAAGCTTCAGTTTTTCTTTCCCTCTCTATCATACTACTATCAGTACATATTAGCATCCACGAGTGTTATAATTGTAGGTTTCTGGTTAGAGTGTCCACACTAATTATAATGAGCGATGGTGAGTGGTTGGACCATTTGTGATTGGGAAAGGAATAGGTCATGTGCTCAAACGCCTCTCTATCTCAGTGATTGTCATATCTGTGGTGTTTTGTTTCTTAAGATGCTTCTCAATCAATAGGCAGGTGGACTGGATTGTCTTGTTTGTCCCATTATTCTTCATAACATTACACTGGTTTGGTGAAAGGTTATTGAGGTCTCACAAGAATCCAGTACAGGTACTATTCGATGTACAACTGGGACCAAAATTTCTATTGCTAAGCAAGACAGTGAATTCTACCCCCTTTTATAACCTTTCTTGCTACAGTTGTTAAGTGAACCATGGGATCGTTAAGTGAATTCTGGCTTCTCCATTGACTTTGCTTGTCAGAAGCCAGCTAGGAAGGTTACGAATGGTGATCACATGACCCCAGGACAGTACAACTGTCATTAATACATGCCCGTTGCCAAGCACCTGAATTTTGTTCACGTGGCCATGGGGATGCTGCAATGGCATGAAAACTGGTCATGTTTTTCACTGCTGTTGAAACTTTGAATGGTCACCAAATGAATGGTTGTAAGTTGAGGTCTTCTTGCACTTAAAGAAGACCAGGGGGGTGTTTTATCAGGTTCGCCTGATTCACCAGTTGCGGCCTTTTCTGGACCGGGACGCCTTGCGCACAGTCACTCATGCTCTGGTCACCTCCCGCCTGGACTACTGTAATGCTCTCTACATGGGGCTTCCCTTGAGGAGCACCCGGAGGCTCCAGCTAGTCCAAAATGCGGCCGCGCGGGCGGTGTTGGGAGGGACTCGTC